ACAGTAAAATAGCTATTATAAGTCAAAGCTTACTGACCTAGTTCGCCACTTTTGTCCAGCTTGCACATGACGACAAGTTGCTATCATACGTAGATTGCATAGAGGAATGGGCGGGGAAACTATGTAATCATAGACTGAATTAAATCAAATCTTGATTATAAATGCATAATCTTGCATCAATCACTAAATCAACGTAAGAATTAGAAGGAAAACTGAAATAAAACTTACTTCGTCGAAGCAATACAGCCGCCATCTTGAGTTTTCCTTTGAACAACAGCTGCTCATTAGAAACGTCGGCTCGTAATTTTCAGGGTAAACGAGCTGCCCAACGTATTGCAGACTCATAATATGGCCTCACATGCAAAATGGCTGATCATTGCGTCTATAAGACTTTACGACTGTGAGTTATTATTCTGCTTATTCTTTGTACGTTATCAATGTTCATGACGGTTTCTAAGCACGTTTACTAACTGTTCTCACATTTTTTCCCTCTATAGGCACACTTCGGCAGATAAGTTCTACATCGAACCTAGAGATCCGAAAGCATTAGGGGAAAAAATATTGGAAATCGACCGTGTGACACAAGAATTAAATTTAGCCGGTAAAAATTTCTTGATTTGTTAGTTAAATTTATTTTCTTTAAAGATTATGAAGTTTAAATGTCCGTCATCCTCTTTTTGATCATAATTACGCTTTTACATGTAAGCTTACAGTCATAACCTCAAAATGGGACGTAGCTAAACGAATTTTGGAAGTGATTAATTTTGCAGTATTTCATTTTGATTCTTACACGCGTCATATATGAATCCCCACGGTTTTTTTGTTCCCGTTATTGTCTGATAATTTCATTCAATCAATATCATATGTTATAACTAAAGAACACTGAAAATCTGAGAATGTTAACTTAATCATAGACTTAAGACTATAAGTAAGTTAATGATAAGCTTAATAATGATAAGCTTATTAATAATATTGCATGTTTAAAACAGTACAATTGTATTTATCATCCTAGCTCTAAGGAAAAAGTCTTCAGTAAAATGATTGTGTAYAGGGCCTTTAGTATGTTAAGAGTCGTGGAAGATTGTAGAACAAACTGTTTAAGAGAAGCAATCKTAGGCCCAGTTCAAACATCGAGGCAGCGTCGTGCCGAACTAAATAGTCAATTRTATYGACCCAAATACATTTACAGCAATTTACATCCATTATTATTGTCGAAAAAAGATATTTTTGTGCATTAAGTTCAGCATGGCGATAGCTTGACGTTTGAATCAGCGTCTAGCTTTTGTCGTACAGCACTACTGCCACTGCCRTGCCACTGGCGTGCTACAGTTGTGCCGAACTCAATTGATTCATACGTCAAGATTTTCATGTGATTAATTCTAACTATTTGGCGCAACGCTGGCTCGATCCATGAACCAGGCCTCAGATCTTGTCTCTGGGTAGTCTTTATCTCCTGCCAAATCTATATTAACAGGAGTCAGAGAAACAAGCACTAATGTTGTAATTGTAAAATACAAATTAGGTAGCTTCTAATAGTCTGAGCAAACACAGGAGAACCATGCTATAAAACCAACTAATTACTAACAAATACATGTAGCAGCTATTTAGAGTCAATTTGTCAGTTTCAATGAACCAGAATGCAATGAAGATGAATCCACCATTCCTAATTGTTACAGTAATTTGTATCGATTCATAGTTTATTGTGTGTTCTTTGTCGCATAATAGGTTAAATTACCAATTTAATTTCATTATTTGCTGAAAAATGCAATTCTTTACTCTACCRTTTGCCTTACCTAATGCTTTACTAATATTTTCTAATGTTCATTATGTCAATTCCAAGGAAAGTGTCTAAATATGTTCAGTATTTTTTCTTATCGAGGACATGCAAGACTTTGTTATACCTTATATTTCTCTTTTTCGCTGACTTTAACATGTCTTTAGTCTTAACACACTTAGACTTTTTACCATGAAACAAGTTTTATTTATTTACAAACCTTTTCAATATGGCCAACATCATATTGTCCAAAAGCACCAGGAGTCTGTTTTAKTGATATAGATGTAGCAAGACCAAATTTCATTCGGTTTGATTTAAATCATAACTCAAAACATGGTTGTTTTACAAGAATTATGTGTTTTGTTTTTGGAAAAGTATTCTCATCAAATATGTAGGCTTCGTTATGTTAATTTAACCTACTATTGTTAGAACATATCAATAACCTAGTATATGAATCRATATAAATTAACAATTAAAATAGAAATCTCATGTGGATTCATCTTGACTGCACTCAGGTTCATTGATACTGACAAATATTCTCTAAATAACTGCTATTTGTAAGTATTTAGTTTGGCTTTATTTCATGGTTTTCCTGTGTTTGCTTTACAGGCATCAGGAGTCTCTGAGAACGATGAGTCCGCCATCTTGAAAAGTGAGACCTGAATCACTATGTCATGTTTTAGCGKACATTTCGTAGTTGCTWAAGTCAACTAATCTGTCATTATAGCCTATTATATTATATTTCAAACACTATTTCACTATTTCAAACAAAAATGGGATCCCTGTGTCGCACGATAATATTYATTTCAAAGTCGATATTTTGGGGTTTGAGGCGATGTCCGTATTTCTGAGCCAGCAAATCTCTTTATCAGCGGTCAACATTTCAGAGCGAGCTTCACTCTCTTTACGATGAAGTGTTTGAAGAGGAGAAAGCGATATTTCTAGAGGAAGACAGTGTGTTTTTATAAGTCTTTCAGCATTGTTGTGGGCTAACACGTTCGATATTTCGGCATGGAATTCTCAGATCATCGAACAAATTCTAAGGAGATGTCTTTTGAAGACCACTCGACCTACCCGATGAAGAGACGATTTTATACTCTTTGAACTTGCTACGTGTATGTTCCTGATCGAGTTTTATATTATCATAATATCAGAAGATATACAAGTTAAGTTAAAGAAAATTATCATTGATAAGATGTATCAATTATCAAGTCTTAGAATCAAGTACTATATTAGCATAACATCAGATAAACAAATGACTAACTAAAAGCAAACTATCAAGTTTATATTATCATAATATCAAATAAACAAATTTATACTATGTATTGTAGGAAAGGAAATGTTGTTTTTATTTCTTTAATATCAATAAAAACTTTTAACTTCGCTGAGGACTCTGCACAATCCCACAGCGCTCCTCTTAATAAAGATCATACAAACCAGTGATAAAAACTTTTCATACACGATTGTCTTTCTCAAGCATCGCAGCACTTACTTTTGATAAAAATCGCTAGTATATAATACTTATTAGTGTAATAATACTKTAATACTAAATGGTCAATTCCACATGAGACAGAGAAAAATCTTGAATTTCAAAAACCTTTAAGTCTTTATCAAAACCATATTTTATTATTGTCACTATACTGAATTAACATAAATCACAGAGTTTATTTTGAAAAACTGGCCACACCCACTCTGCAGCAGGGCATTAAACTCTCATTTGCAACTCAACTATTACTCTTAGCATGATCTCAGTACTGCTGCTCTTTTAGATTAACATGTGAACAAATATTTCAAAAGAAAAGCGACAAAAAATTAATTRATTACCTAGATATGCTGTTGCGGACATTACCATTGCGGACATTACCATTTCAACTTTTGCCATTTTCATTTGTGAAATATTGCTATTTTTTTAGAAAAAGTACATCTTTTCACAGTAAAAGCATAGTTGTATTCCTCCAAGGCATGCTTGCATGTAATAACACTGACCATAAATCTAAAATTTAATTGGTGACTTTCCACTTTCAATGAATAATCCTTTGTTCTTGCTATGTTTATTTATTTATTTTTTTAATTATTATCTAAAATGACTGTTCTTTAAGCATAAAGTAGCTATTAAATACTTTTTTAACATTTTATATTTATTCCTGCCAGATTTTTTGCTATAATTCTATACTATCCCAAAAATGTAATGTGCGCAACAAAGAATTTAGTCTATAGCTTCCACAATTATAGAAATAATAAAGTTTTAATGGCCATTATTACTTAAAACTTATCAGAGTTTTAGTCTCTTGGAAGCTTTTCACAACTCACAGCAATTCTAGCTTGAAAGCAGTCAATTAGATACATTTGGTTGATTTTAGGGTAATGTCCGCAACAGTCACTATTAACAAAATGCTATGTTCATTCTTTTGTTGAATTATTACCTAAAATGACTGTTTTTTAAGCAGACAGTAGCTATTGAATACTTTTGTAACATTTTATATTTATTTCTGCCAGATTTTGTGCTATAATTCTATACTATCCCAAAAAAGTAATGTCCGCAACACTTATTAGATAATGTCCGCAACAAAGAAATTAGTCTATATTTTCTGCAATAATAGAAAATAATATAGTTTTAATGGCCAGTATTGAACCCCCGTCATTACTTAAACTAGTCAGAGTTTTAGTTTCTTGAAAGCTTTTAACAATTCACAGCAATTCTAGCTTAAAAGCAGTCACTTGAATACATGGTTGTTTTTAGGGTAATGTCCACAGCAGTCACTATTAGTATAATATCTAAGGAGGGAAAGGAGGTATCTTTTTTTTCACATACATAGGCCCCCTTGAGCTYAATTATAGCAAAGTTTGATCCACCTAGCTTGCTACAGTTAGTAGTTGTGAACAGTTTTGTAGCCATATTTTGCCTCTGAAGGTAATGTCCGCAAAATGGAATTGACCGATAATACTTATTAGTAATAATACTAATAATTGGTTAGAAGTCATGAGATTTTGTGTTTCAGACAATGAAGGTCAGATTCCCCCATCAGCAGAGACCAAGGACATCTTTGGCATTATGGGAGTCATTCATCTATTGGCAGGTATGAGACCATTGTAGCTAACTTACAAGTATGTGTTTCCATGAAGTGATAACTCAAGGTTTCTGGACAGCCACTTTTTCCTTTTCTTTCTTTCAAATATTGCTCGCTATATTGTTTCTTAGTTTTTACAGTTTCACACTGATAATTATTCTAAATATTGTGCAATCTTTTGTAGGCCCATATTTGATAGTGATCACAAGAAAAAGGCTTGTAGGCTACATACAAGGCAATGAAGTATGGAAAGTCCTTGGGACTGAAGTCATTCCATTCCCTAGAGCGCTATTACATCTCACTGAAGACCAGGTAAAWTCGGTCTAGTATCTGTTACACTTTTGAGAAAAACACTCATTGCTTGAGTCTTCAATTATCTCTATGCAAAGTCATAATTGAAGTCGTAACTTAGACAATTTCACATTTTTTGATTATTGAACAATATTCATGAGCTGTTGAAGAAATGTGATTAAAAGATTATTTTTATACAGAAAAATACTAATTTGGCAGCAAACCGGGGCAATTCTGATTGGCTGCTGTGAGGCTCATATAAATATAAAATAAAAACAACRTAGTCTATCCATTATTCCATGAGAAATCAGACCAGAAACTCGGATTTGCACTGAATTGATATTTTTCCTGCACCTGACTGATCAATGGTTAACAAAAGTTCAAATACTGTAAAAAATGTTAATAATCCATGTCAATCTTCAGCAAGAGCATTAGATTGAAGCAGTAGTGGGGTTAGTGCCACATGCTATGGAGTTAGTAGTCAATAAACTACATATAGCTGAAGATCTGACCTCACACAAGTTGAATTGTGGAGGTTGAATGTGGGTTGTGTGTTACTYTTAGTTACTTTTGAGAAGGAGAGTGGCAGTATTAGGCAATCAAGGTTATTTGACAGTGTTTGAGGTCTGGCTAGATTTGCAAGGGCTGAGACAGATAAGGGCTAGAGAGATTTCAGAAATTGAGAGTGATGGTTGTGTGTTCATGAAGTAAATATTAAATAACGTTTTGCAAGCTGTGATGGTGTTTGTGAGTGAAAGGGAACGTGATTATGTCCATGAATTGAATTAATGATGTTTTGCAAACTGTGATCATGTTTGCAATTGAAATGCGAGTGAAATGAGATTAATAAAGAATGGGACTCGAACTATAGATAATGAAGTTGGATTTTTTTTCAGAAAATCTTGGACTAGGGAGGATAACTAAATTCAATTTAATAAACTAATCAGAAAGGTGTTTTTTTTAGGCATATTATGACAAAATATATTTGTCAATGGTCACTTCTGTTCTTCAAACAGATGGATTTTACTTTTCATGTTCCTATGACCTAACTCATACCATACAAAGACTTTCTGGAACAAGTCCTGACTTTCTTCAAATGCCTCTTTTTGAAAGGGTAGGTTAGACATTTCATTTTTAATTATCAGGACAGAAAACAGTCAAACGTACAATGTCCATTAATTATGATTCTAAAGCTTGCTTTGATTGATCTCGACTAACTTGAGCTTTGCTTGATGTGTGTCATTCTATTTATTAGCCACTGTTATTTTTGCCCTGATTGTTTAAATTATTGATACTAAGTATGTGCAGCTTTAGATTTTGACTTAATTAACTTTTTTACATTTTACTTTGTTAAGGCTGATCCAAGATTTGTATGGAATAATCATCTTCTGAGACCATTTACAGTACAATCTGAGGTAAAACAATTAATTTACTGTGGTTGTGTATGTTGTAGTATGAAACATCTAGACATTCAGTCCCTTTTTTTAAAGGAAATCACGAGAAATAAGTAGCACACATGACTCACATGACTGTTTAAACTGAAAATAAGTCAAGTTAATAGAGCTCTGACTAATTCTTATTTTTCATGGATTTCAGCTTCATAAATTTATACTTCCAGTTATGCATGGATGTATCCTTRTTTGCATTTAATACTAACTTAGAAGAAGTGTTACTTAGAATTAAGGTTAGGAAGCATTGCATTACTGACAGACAGTGAAAATCAGAAAGCTGTAAAAAGACAGCTGATGATAAAAATTAAACAAGAGAATTTACTATAAGCAATTGAAACTTGCATATTTGCGTGAACTTGGGGTTCTGATCTACATATCATTATACATTTTCTAAATTTCAGCATATCATAAAATTTGTATACAATTCGCTTTTGATAAGTAGTTTGTTTGATACAAAATTCTCGATAGCCAGTATATTATAATAAATTTCACAATAAATTATCCAAATGCCCTTTCAAATAATGCTCAGCTAGTGCAGCTGTATGGCAAATGTGTGGATTTGTAAAACAGATCAAATTTTATTTTTGCACTCTTGCACTTTTTCTAGTTTCTATTTATAAGTTTCTGCCCGTTTTAAATAGTCTCCTTACAAGGTGTAGCAGACATAAATTTGTGTCCGTTGTGAACAGTCCAAATTTGTGTGGAAAAAGGTTGAAAATTAAGCTGAACATTACGTACGGTCTTTCGCGATGTTACGTTTCACCGTAGTAAATTGAATATATTTATTGTTTGTTTGAAAAYTTTATTTTGATATTTACGTTTTTACTTATAATATCCAGTCTGCAGCCTGCGTTTGTCGCACACCGATTTGTATACCAATAGGCGGCCAAATGAAGTTGAAACACGTATGAACGAGCATTTACTTGGAGACTTTGTCACATGTTTATAAGCACATCCATGGTACTAGATGCGGGGAAACCAGTCACTAAGGACTGTTTCTCAATCATAGACAATGACAACACCGAGTACAAAATCAAGATAAAAGAAGCCATGCATATTAAGTGGTTACAACTATCCTTAAATCAACAAGTTAAGCACTTGACTCTTTCATTGTCTTTGTAATCTTCAGATATACACATATTCATATGCTAAGTTAGCTATATATTTTTCTATCCTTACTATGTATTCACTTCTGATGATGGCGTAAGTAATGCCGAAACATGTCGTGTCTAATATAAACGATTTAAGATCATAATAATGATAGGAATATTGTTCCATTTTGAACAAAAATGTTAAAATAGAATATAATTGAACGATATCAGTTTAAGCATTAAAAACGAACAAAATGTTTTTTGACGTTTAGCATGATTTACGGACAAAGAATGTTTGGATCTGGCTTGTTTTAAACAAAAGGACTGATTTTGAACATATTTCACATAATTTTGACACGAGTGCAAAAGTTCAAAAATAATTTTTGAAGTGTTTAAGTGACTTGAGCGTATTTGTTGATATTAAATCCATGTCTTCTTCCATCATGCGTTACACTTATTGCTGACAGTTCCTTAGCTTGGGCTACCTGTGGGACAATTTGTGAACGAAATGTGACAACAACGAAAAAGAAAGCCAAGACCTAAACTCAGGATTCCTTTGGAACCCTGAGCAAAAATACTACTAGGTGTAAGCTCTTGTCAACCATTTTTTGTTTACCAAATTGTTTTATTTATTTATAATAAATTAATGTACTTTATTTTTGTTATAGGCTGATATATAAAATAATGTCAGTTAAACAAGAATATCATAAGAAAATTACTCCAATGTTTAAATCCTTGACAATGTGATAGTCATAAGCATAACAACATGTACAATTAATAATAACTCCTTTGATTTTATTCTTATTTCTCGACGAAGTTGCTACCGGGCAGGTATGAGAATTCACATTCATTTGAATKATTATTATATTATCTTTGATATTTGTTTGTGTTTTGAAACTTTTAAATTTATTACACACTTCTTGCATTTTTGAACATGCAATATGTATTGTACTGTAGATATTGTTGCTGATTTGGTCATACTTTTACAGACATCTTTTTAATTAATTTTAGAATTTTTTTGATTGTTGTGGCCTTATGAGAGGTTGGATTATAAGACAAAATTTGGTTGTTTTGATGTGTTTGTTATCCAAATTGCCAGCAAAAGGCTAATATCATGATAGACCTGACCTGAGTTACAGAGCCAATGAATAACTTACTAAGACTAACTAAGTCTGAAATCTTTTTTAATTTTTTAAATATAATGAGTCTACTATCTAGATATCAACAAGCATGAGGGCATATATGAGTGAGAACTATACCTAGTTAAACATTGTTCCTGTCTAATTTTGTGGAAACACGAGACAAAGATCTTTATCATTGTACTAAGTAAACTATAGTCCTTGAAAATTAAAGGCACTGGAAAAGTTTAATAACTAATAGCATTTGAGAACAGCCTCCTTCACAGTGTTTGCAGTGTCAAAGGTCTTTCTTATTAATATTGTTAATATGTATTTGTTGCTAAAGGAGTACGCTATTATATACGAGGTCTTGATGATGAAGGCCGATCAGCTAATTACGTTGAGACGGAACAAATAATTCAGTACAACAATGGAACTTCATCATTTGTTCAGGTAAAAATAACAAATTAATACAACAGCAGTTACCGGTAGCTTTTTAGGCCACTAGCAAAATTTCATAAGATATCAAACAGGTTAAATAATGATAATTAGTGCCCATTCTCCCATCAAATAATGTTGAAGATGGCCTAATCCACAGACCTAGTGGTTTCTCAAACCTGAACCTGGGAAACTCTGTAATTGGTTTTTTATCAATAGTTACTTTTTATAGCTGCTATTTTTTATAGTTCTCTCTATTCAATCCCTAATATCAATGTCTGTCAGTACATTGAATGAGTGAAATACTTCTTCAGTGCAAAATGTCTACTAAAATTATTTTTACATTACTTCCTCATTAATGACTTTAATTTGTTTCTACACTGCTGTTTTTCAGATAAGAGGTTCCATCCCACTTTATTGGTCACAAAGACCAAATTTGAAATATAAACCAACTCCATTAATCAACAGTACAGCTGACCATGTGAGTCTAAAATTAGTGTACTTTCTTTTTCTTTCTTTCTATCTTTCTTTCTCCCTTTCTTTCTCTCTTTCTATCTCTTTCTTTTATTACTGAATTTAGGTTTTTATTTGTTTCTTGAATTCAGACTTTAGGATTCCAGTACCATATTGATCATGAAATTGCGCACTATAGGGAACTAGTGCTGATCAGCTTGGTAAGTCAACAATAGATGATAATGAGGACATGCATTGATTTCAGATCATGATGATTGTTTGTGAGTTAGCCTCTTAAGGTGTGCCTCTACTGGATCATTTTACCAGTACCAGCAGAAGGCTTTTGCTCAATTTTTTTTGTTATTCAGATTTACAATTCCTTGTAGAAAGATTGAGAAATAAAATCATGTTGAACAGGATCTTGCAATCACAACCTTTAGGAGACTCCTTGTTTTGAGTTGTGAGAAATTCTTGTTCATGGACAAAATAACACGGTCCACCAGTCCTAGACCGTCCAATCAAATTGCGTGGTTCCCTAGCTAAAACTCAACTGCCAAACACAATTTGATGGTTAAGTTAGGGAATCGCGTAGGATTGGTGAATACTAGTGTATTCCTATTGTTCATTTCATAGTTAAGTCATGACAAACAACAAACATAGTTGCCTAGACTGGTCCAGGCTCAAAGGTCGCACTTTAATACAAATATACACGTAGAACAAGCTGTACAACTTTAAATAGCCAACTTCTACAGAGCTTGGACCACACTGATTTCACAATAATCCAGTTTCGAATTCTCCCATGCTCTGTGTTAGCCTCATTTCTGCGCAAAATATTCTAATAATATCCTATTTGTGAGAATAAAAGTGTGAGATTTCAAACAAAAGAATATGTTACTTGGTTTTGAGGCTAACACAGAGCAAACCAGAACTCGAAATTGGAGTATTCCTGACACCTCCTTATATAGCATTATAACACATTATCATACTAGCTCCAGGCCACTCTCTCACATAGGAACACATTTCTCTCTCCATTCCAACTCGGAACTTGTTGTTCATTCCAAGAGAAATACAATTCAAGATGGCGATTAGTCGTAACTGTTACTATAAATATGGAAAGAAATGGACTCAGCAGACCATAAATACTCCATTTTACAGTCCCAGGCGCCATCTTGATAGGTAGCCAAGCCTTTGCATGAAAGCGAGACAGGAGTTGAGTCTGCAATGATAGATACCTTTTGTTCACACCTAAGACAATTATTCACAGGTATCTATCACTGCAAGCTCAACAACTGCCTTGCTTTGATGCAAAGGCTCAAGATGGCAACTGGAACTGTAAAATGGAGTATTCATGTTTATTCATCACAAGCTTATAAGACTAGCAATAAAAGACTCAAGTAAGTACCGGTGAATAGCATGATATTTTGTTCTATGAACAAGAATTTCTCAAAACAAGGAGTTAACCAAACTTCAGAGTCCTGGAGTAAATAAATAAAAATAAAAATAAATAAAATCAACTTTGTTTTAAGAGGGTAAACACGTGCCAGTAAAGAACTGATGAATTTGTGGCCCTCTATACTCTCACACTCACTACCTCTACATTAAGTATTTTAGCACACAACACTCCTCACATGTTGATTTTTGCTGAGGGAAGAAAACCGGAAAACCCGGAGAAAAACCCTCGTGGYAAGGGAGAGAACAACACATCAAACAAACTCAAACTCACATATGGTCCGTGCCCGGGATTCAAACCCGGACCACAGCGGTGAGAGGCCAGCAGCTTAACCACAAGGCCACCCACTCATTATATAGCTGAGATTATACTGCGCTTATATCTTGGCTATAAATGGCACTAGAACTCAAAATAAGTGTATTTATTATAATTATCAAGAAGGTATTGAACATGTTGTTCTTTCAAACTAAAGAAAGCAATTTTGAAAAATTATAAATGTTAGCACTCTTGCCGGCGATATTGTACTACACTGGTAATCATATGTTTTTAAGTCATCTTTTTGTCTTCAGATTGATCAAAAAGGTGCAGAAAAGATTTTAGGTGACAATTTCTATACTATTTTACGGAACTCTGGATATAAAGAAGATAAGTTAAGGTATTGTTTTGTATTGAGCACTTGTGGAAATGGAGTAAGCTCCTCTCACAGCAGCTATTTGGCTGGTGGGAATGTAATGGAGATATATTAGATTTTAGTAAAATGATTGTTATGAACTTTTAAGACTACAATATTAGGCTCAGTCTCCAGCCGTTGGGATTTCGTGCGCCTGCGATACTCTCTCCCCTGACGGCTGGGCGCATGGGGTTCGAAACGTGTCGCGTATGTCCGTGACGTTTTTGTGTAATTAGCATATTATGACGTAACGGAAGTGAATTTTTCAGTGAACGGAAGTGAAATATCTGACAACAGCCGTAAAGGTTTTGCTACAAGTTGGGAAATTATGTGAAATGAAAACTTCGYGAAGTAGCGATATAATGTAATAGTTAGCGCTTTAAAAAAGAGAAAGGAATGGTAATTACCCCAAGTAAAACTTGTGTAGGGTTTAATAATCCAAATGGATGTATTATCTGCCAGAAAAACGAGCAAAATACACTAGTGGCGCTGTTTGAAAAATAAGAGATTTGCCCGAGCCAGTATAGGAAGAATAACAAGGACATCTTTTCCAAGAACAATCTCTTTAAGAACCTTTTGCTGTACTTCTCTAAATTCGTCCAAGCTAAACGAGCCTTCAAACAAGCACTTTCAAAGAGAATCTCAAACGACGAATTGTACGCCATTTTGTTACACTGCTGCCTGCTAATTTATTAATGATATGCCCCTGAAAATATCGGGGGCCACTCGCTGATTGGTCAAGACTGACAATAGCGAACCCCATGCCCCCAGCCGTCAGGGGAGAGAGTATCGCGGGCGCACAAAATCCCGACGGCTGGAGACTGAGCCTACTACAATATGTGACTGCCTTATTTTTCCAGGTATGATGCGTTTGACTTTCACAAAGAATGCAGCAAGATGAGATGGGATCGACTGAATATCCTTATAGACAGACAAAATAGTGATCTCAAGAAATTTGGGTATGATTAGTAAATNAGGAATAATGTAAATAAGTAATGAATAGTAAGTAAAACAACTGTAGTTTCTCAAAACAGAACTGTATTTTTTTAGTGCCGATGCAAAAACTTGAACAGTTAATTCCTATAATAGTTCGGTCACTTGAATAAGTAAAAACAAATCAATAAAGTTTAATAAATAGCAGAAAGATATGTTTGTTGAAATGACAAAAAAAAGGAGCGGGTTGTTGTTTTGAACATTAATGCAACTTTATTATGTATCTTTTAATTTTTTTTATCAAAAGATGTTTTTCACGAATTGGGAACCCTGTGGTAAAGTGTGAAATAAGAAAACACTCATTTTGATATGTTTATCCACACAATATTTGTGGAATTTCTTGTTGAAGTGTCCCTTTGTTTGTCAGAAGCTATATTTAGTAATTTATTTTAAGTTTATTCTATTTTTTAGCGAGATAATTATTTTACTTGTTTTGGGTACCCTGTGGTTTTCTCGAAAATCACAAAATGCTATTTTAACCATGTTCCTCTATCCGAATTTTGGGGAACTTTTAGTATGTTAGTTAGTAGACCAGTAACTGCCATTTGGCAGTGAAAAAGCTTTTGTTGCAATTAGTTTGATCTTCAGCAACAGATTGACTGGACTACATGTATTTTTTTATAGTTTTGTGGTGCTATTCATCCTTTTAATACTTAACTCAATCTTGTCACACATGGCTGATAGCCAACTCAGTCAGAGCCTCACCATGTACAACTTGATTTTATGGAATTACAACTGTTTTATTTTTTACCATATAACTAGTAGAATTCTCGTGCGCTGATTGGTCGAGAGCCGTTGTCGATCGTAGGACAGACCAATGAAATGWCGAATCGCTCGCGCACGGAGCAGGCACAYGCCAGAAACGATTTTGTTTTGAAAGTTTTACTTTGTTTTCCGCTTTGTTATAATGGTAAAAAATACGCTCGTGGTTCCACTTGAGTTTTGATCATTTTCTGAYGTCATTTTCATTGTTGATAAGCGTACAGACCATAGAAAAGCGATTTCGATTTGTTAAATTTACTATTAATTAAATCACTGGATCATGAGAAAATACCCTGAACTCTAATTTTTCAGCAAAATTCATGTGAGAGCTCATCTCCCTGAGTTATATCAAGCATAATATATCCATTCAAAAAACAGACCAGCGAACTAACCATTATATGGTACTTTTTGATAACTCCTTCACCAAATACCATGATTKTTTGAAATAGCTATTTAATGTTCTTTCATTTAATAAATAATCAAAATTTTGTTTGGTGTGTGTTGATTGTTGTGAAGAAATTAACTAGTTGTATTATTGTCTCCTTCATGAGAAGTGAGCTTGAGTTGCCATAATTATCAGTTATTTGAAAACAATCGGGAGAAACGYGGTCTGTTTGCACTTTGTGTTGTTAAGTACTAGATGTTTGTAAATATGCAAGTTCCTATCTGAGAAAAGGTGCTCACTTATGCATTTAGAAAAATGGCGAATTGATTCACCAATGATATACAATGTACATTGTAGGAGCATGGTGTGATTACAACTGGAGAAAAAATCGCAGGACACAAGGATTTCGAATTCATATTCAAGAATGGTATGTTTCTTTTTTTCAGTACTATTTTGCAAATGAATACATGATAATTGTAAAATAACTCAAAATTATTGTGAATGCAATATTTAACAATTAGACTTCAAGGGTGAGTGGACTAAGAGCTGATTACCCATGAGGCCAAAGGTGTTTGGCACACTTGGCATTTTTTTTTGACCCACAATTTTTCTAAAAGGAAACTGGAGTAATTAGTGATTTAGTATTAACATGCAACTAATTAAGACATATATTAATTAAAAACATGAGAGAGAGTGTTTTATTAGGTATAAATTTATACTCGGTCGTCTCGCTTCAATGCAAAGGCATGGCTACCTTTCAAGATGGTGCAGGGAAGAAGGCTACCGGTCTTAAATAAATGAATACCAATATTKATGTTTTCTAATAATTTTAGTCTGGGCTGATAATGCTGATGCCTGTTCAGTCCAATATGCTGGAACTGGAGCCCTAAAGACTGATTTCACAAGGTACAATTRTGATTGTGAACACTTGCTTATAAATAAAAATTGTCCTTTTATAGAGAAGAACATTTGGTGGATTAGTAAGAACACATAAAATTCCCATTAATTCCCTACTGATTAAACAAAAAAGACAGTACAGTACCACTTATCTTCATTTGTCTTTATTTAATTAGTCTTTAATTATCACAAAGATTTTGTTTTTTAAAAACACATTATAACAAGAAACTGTCAACTAGCAAGTATGCATTAAAGGAATTTGTACTTCCTAGTATAATTTGTATCAGATGTACCATAACCCTCTGGGGGACCCCTAATAGAAAATAAAATTCTGAAAATGATCCCTAAAAGGGACCTGCATTGTGATATGATGGGYGTGGCTGTGCTGAAATTGCACCCCTAAGAGGGACCAATCAATAACAGGTCATTTTGTTTTGGCTTCCCGATTATTTGTGTTTTTCCACAAGCATCAAACAGTGAACGGCTCATATTGAGATCAATCATCTTATTAGCAGTTATGGTTGTTGTTGATCTTATAATTATGACTTAGGGTTGCTGTATACCCTAAAAGGGACCACAAAACTCAGAGTGTAAGAAAGAATACACAGTCCCTTTGATTGGGAAGGGAATAGCTAGGGTTATTGGACTAGCCATTGATTATATTTATAAACGATTACCTCTTATTAGAACTGGAAAGAGGTCTGTATTTGGAGCTTTGAAAGATGGGGTGAATTCAGCCATACGGTATTACAAGAACAACTTTTCTGATGGCTATCGACAGGTGAACATTTTAATAATTTTCTCATTATAATTATATGGCTTTCATATTTTTTGAAATTAAAATTTGAGATTAAAATTATCAGAACATTATAAATATGATATTATTTAATATATATATGACTGTTGTGTTTAGGATTCCATAGACCTGTTTTTAGGCAACTACATTGTGGACTCCAATGAATGTATTAGCAAACCATGTCCACTACAGCAGAAGCGTGATTGGAGATACATGATGGTAAAGTTGCAATATGGCTATTTTCAAAATCAAGCATCAACAAACATTTTTCTATAGTTAATGACTATATTCATTYATTATATTGTGATGATAATAATATTGTGATATACATGTATATGTAACATTTGTTATTATTGGAATGAGAGTGTGAATGAGAGTGAAAAGGTGATTGTACTGCAGCAGCAAATGCAGGTTTTTTCCCAAGTGTTTTAGTCAGCTGAGGTGTTGTAAACATTCAACAGTAGGTTATCAATGCCAAAGGAGAGAGATACTTTAATTGTAAAATTGAGGGGTAGTGCACAGACCAGGTGGATCTGCCATTCGTGTTAATTAACAATAGTATTATGATAATGGTGATCTTCTGAAACAAGAAAGTAATTCATGGGGCATACTAAGAATGAATACAATGATGATAGGAGCTCATTTGTATTTATTACAACAAATTTGTTATAATTAATTGATTTCTCTTTTAGCTCCCATTCATCCTATTGTTTGGTTTCTCTATGTTCATTATTAGCCTTATTCTTCCATCAAGTAAGTTCATGATTTTACCTTTTCACTGCATTGCATTCACTCAACTATATACTGAATAGAGTGGATTTYGTATGAGTGGGAAACGGACGGTACTGTACGGTGACCGTAATCGTACTGTAACAAAATTCTAGTGCCCCATTGGTTCACCAAAATTGTGCAGGCCAGGTCCGGTAACCGTGCGGTAACGGTGCCCCACTCATACGAAATCCACTCTACATATGATCTTTTCTTGATACAGTGACAGTTTGTTTATGTTGTCAACAACACTGTTGCACAGCCATATGAAATCTGATCTACAATACTTCGCAACCCAATTCGAAATAATTACCTAGAAGTATGCATTGCCTAATAATTCCTAAGCTTACCATTTTTTAATAGCCTGCGTTACATTCCGGAAATTTCAATAATATTGTCAGATATATWTAATATTGGATGTACACATATGCCCATATATGGAAGTTGTGTGACAGGTCCTACTCTGTTTTTTGATTGACAGACAAACTCATCCTTATTAGCATTTACAAAATATTTGATGTTATATGTAGTTTGGTTGTCAATAGAACGATTTCRCATAACGATACAAAAAATGCAAATAGGTTTATCTTATGCAAATTTTATTGACTGTAAAATAAACTCATGTGATGATGCAATACACGCTTCATTTTCTCACTTATTACATCATTGTTTCCTATCTTATAATTAGATTTTATTGTTATTCATCACGAGCAAAACAAAACAGTTTTTATTGAGTCCAAATATAATTATGGACTTGACTTTTTGTTGGCCAGCCTTTGCTCGGCTTTCTCAAAAAAGCGGTTCACACGCAAGAGACACCCTAGGTGGTTACTCCCTCCTGCTATAGTATTGATCTTGTGGTATTTTTGGCTGAAAGAGGTGTCAACCTTTTTGAAAATATTTGAAGCTAGGCTTGTACTAGATGCTGCATGGTACAGTTCTGCATGTGCTATGATAGAAATTATAGCAAAGCTTGGCACAAAGACTGAAGCATGTCAAGTCTGCTCGGAAAATGAAATGTTTGTGTTTTGTTGTGATGTAATGATAATATAAAGTAGCAAAAAGCTGCAATACGTGAGAGAATAGAGTCTGTATTACATGATTACATGAATTCATTTTACAGTCAATGAATTTGCATAAAATAAACCTATTTGCATTTTTTGTATCTTCATTATGTGAAATCGTTCTAATATGATAATAATCACAATTTTCTTTCTCCTACAGCTGAGTATGGTATTCAGTTCCTGTATGTCCTATTCTGGGGAGCAGCTGTTTTCATGACACTATATATTGTAGTTTTCTTTGGAACTGAATTTGTTGACCAACCAAAGTTGCTGCAACCAAAGGACACCAAAGACAAACATGTTTGACTAGCAGAAACACATCCATCATTTCCAAAAAACAAACTCTCGCATGATTACTACTGGATCTGATAGCTAATATCATATTAATATGTCCTACAGTGTATCAAAATACCAACAACTGCTTTAGAAAGAAAAAAGGTGTGCTGACCAGTTTTTAAGGCACTTAAGGTGTTTTGATCAGGGTTCGTGCAGGTCCTTAAATCCTTGAAAAGTACTTGAATTGAAAACTCGTTTTCAAGGGCACTTGAAACTCCTTGAAAATTTGAAAAATCGAAGAAGTCCTTGAAAACTCCTTGAAAAAGATGGATCTCTATCACGAAGCGCTAGCAATCTCTGAATTATTCCGTTCGGCTGAAGTTTTGAGGTAAGAATGTACAATTAGCATGATTTTAATGCTCCTTGAAAATACAATTTTGGTCCTTGAAAAAGTCCTTGAAAAGTCCTTAAATTTCGTTTTTGATACTCTGCGCGGACCCTGTTTGATGCGCTAACCAAACACAAGAATGATAATTTGATAATATTGTAATTATTATCCAAAAATGTGTTACACAATATATTGATTTAGCAAATAAAGTCTTACATAATAAAGACTGCACACGCCCTTCTAGCTTAATTACAGCATTGTAAAACCATGTGAAACTTTAATTATCTTTTGTAACCAGTTCTTCCCCAACTTTTGTTGCTGGTGATCTACAGAGTCAGCAAGAAAACTAGAAATCACCAGCATGCAGTTGGTTTTTTAAGATATTTTGAAATTAATGCTTTTTTATTATCATAATGATGGATGTGTTGCAAAAAAGATTGTCATTAAATGGTGATATTTAATAATTATATTTAGGTACATGTAATAGTAAGATCAAATTGAATGTTGGTGTAGGGTTGTATCCATATTGTCTTTAAAATGCAAATTATCAAAGAAAATGTTATGTATTTATCTCATAATTGAAACAAATTTAATAGAGTTTTGGTTTTCACCAAGTATAGTATGCTAGGGACTAAAAACAATATTAAAACTGTTTTTAATCCAACAAAAGAACTGTTCATAGATGACATTATAACTACAACAACAGAAGCTCTAGTGTATCTTTATTTGAAAGAAAAATATATAAATTATATTCAAAAGAATATATGATTGGTAATTTCTCTCAGTTACTCTAAGTAGTGTAGTGTTCTCATATAATTATAGCAAGTTTCAAATTTCCTATCTTTCTCTACCATTTGAAGTGAACTATATTATACATATGGCAAAATTACCCTAATTACAACTTACTGTTAATTAATATAATATAGTCTAAGGCCATATCCACAGCTAGATTATTACCTTGCAAGGGAAAATCAATGCTGGCAGGGTACAGTTGGTTACTTTGTAAATGTTTTTGAAATATTGTTTTTGAATTATAAGTGAAAAACTCATTTAGGCAAAGACAGAAAAACGAGACAAGACATGAAGAGTAGATCATTTTTGTACTGCTTCCTTCACACTTTTTCTGTAGTGAAAGTCCACTGTAATTGATGATTAGAATACCAACATGTAACAAGATATATTTGTAGATCTGTAGCATATTTTACATTGGTAATCACAATCAACATTAAAGAAAATAAACAGTCATTAACACTACTTTAACAGTGTATACCATTTGTACACAGGTAGCCCAAGCYAGGCATTGTACTTTTTAGAAATATTTAAAATATAACAAAAAATAAACAACGTCTCCGGCTGTGTATTGAGTTTTTYTTTACATTTCTGTGAAGTTTCAGACGCTGGGCATAAACAGGCATAAATCGCTCAAAATTGAAGGAAATGGCCTGAAACAGCCGGAGACGGTTATTTTTGTTATATTTTAAATATTTCTAAAAAGTACACAAATGCCTAGCTTGGGCTGCCTGTGATTTGTATGTTTTAATTTATTAGAAAAAAAGGTTGGAGAAGTGCTAATTAATTCCAGGGATCCTACCATATATCAAAAATGGTGATGATTTGTGTCTTAGGGCAATAATCAAGAATGTGATATCTTTCAGAAGGGTGTTTTAAAAGTTGCTGGTCCCCCAGGGTGGGGGTACTCAACACCGTTCTGGATAGGTACGTGCCGCCAGCGGTCTAAAACCCTGACCCTGTTTAAGACACTAGAAAGTAAAAATCCATACCCTGTTCAAGACAAATCGGAAAAATAAGGAATCGGTATCTACGCCGCAACCATCAAAACTGTAGTTATACTGACAACACGTTAATCCCGTTACAGTGAAACGTTATTTCTACGGTATTTCTWACGAAAATATTACCCTGTCCAAGACACACAAAAAAATTATCTCGGTCTTTTATCTAAATTGTAGAGCCTGTTTAAGACAATTTAGGGTGAAATGTATATCCTGTTTAGGRCAGCAAGGCCAAAACCCATACCCTGGCCAGCGGCACGTCCCCATATAGCAAATATATGGGAGTACCCCCCCCCCCCCCACCGGGCTGGCACAAACATCATTACATTAATTAACCGACAATATGAATGTCTTGATATGAGAATTACTTGGTTTGTACTGTTGAAACCTTTCATATATTTAAGTAAATGTGTTGGAAGGTCATGTCTCTGAAACAAAAATGATTACGTCTAGTAAAAATATAAATACTAGATTTTGTTCTTTTTGCCTGGCATATCTTGCCACACCCTCCTTAAGATTCTGGTATCTTTAGTTTTATTTATTTTTAATTCTCACAATCATCCCCACCCTTGATATCAGTCCCCAGGGGTAATTCATCCAAAATGTCTTCTTCAACATTTTTGGGTACACTAAAGATCCTTTTCACTCAGTGATGCACTGCTTATCCATAAATAATTTTGAACATGACCCCCCCCCCAAAAAAAAAAAAAAAGACAAAAGATATATTTTATAATTACAGTTTTTATGGACCAGGTATAGTAGTCAAAAGGTATGGGTCAAAGTCAAGTCAAAAGGGCCTGTTCGCACTATGACATAAGCAATGTCAAACAAAAGAAAAGACACAAAGGAATGAAGTCAAGCATGCATCAATATATATTTCTGTCAGTCAATATAAGCATAGCAAGTAACTTAAGACAGAGCATAAAGCTAATAAAGGACAAGGAATAAACAGAGATTGAAAAACTTGTGCTTATGTTGCAGTGTGAACAGGCCCTAAAGTATAGTGAAGGACCACATTTAACTCTGTACAACTATATTACACTAACAGAGATGATCACATGTACAGAGAATTATGTGCATCAAAAACGTATCAAATACAGTAAACAGCCGAAAATAAGAACCTTATGGATTAAGAACCTCTTGGCAGAAATTTGCCATTCTAATAACCCCTTAATAAGAACCTCTTTAGCCAAATATTATCAAGCAGGCCGTTCTTATAATATGGGTTAGAGCTAAATTACAGGATAACCATAACGTACTCAATTTGAAGATTGCAGCTATAGATTACTGAATTTATTTATTATAGTTGTTGAGTTTGATTATTTACTTGTTACTAACAGTAGTCAAAAGTTGCAGTAAGTTAAAAAAAACAATAACGACTTTACCTCCCTGTACCTCCCTATTAGAAGTTAAGAACCTAATTAAGAACCTGTTTTGCCAAAATTACCAATACAACTACTCCTTAAAACAAGAACCTTTTTGCCAGACTTTCAAAAAATAAGGTTCTTATTTTCAGGTGTTTACTGTAACTCAGGAGTGGTATTGACTGAATAGACAGAAAATTGACAGTAAATACTTATATTCAAAATATTAACTAATAATGTCTATTTGCAGGCATTTACAAAAAAGTATGACTTCTATATCTGTCAGTCTGTAACATATGAGAATGGACAGCACAAAAGGGGATCAAAGAATTTCAAAGGGTCKTAAAAGACCCTTTTGATGCAGCGAGTGAATAAATTGCGTCTTTTAGACAACTGGATGTTTCCGCCAGAGACAAGACACCCCTTTTGTGATGTACTATCCCATATACTAAGTTCAAAGTATGATTTTTAAGTCCCTCTTAATCTTATTTTTGTCTGTGGTCTTAAACCATTTTAACTAATAATATTATCATAATATTATATTACATTCTATTAAAACCATTTTCTCATGTTAACCAGCAACCAAGTTGTGGCTTTGTCAGATGTCTTTTTTAGAGTACTTTGATAATATGAATTGACTTGGGTGTGAGAACAATAGCGTTTTTGTTACTGGCTGCTAATCCAAGTATACTGTTGCTAGGAGGACCCAATGTTATGACTCGCTGAAAGGCAGTCTTAAAAAATGGAAAATATTATCATTACATATTAACATGTTTCAATTCAACTTTAAGCCTTGTTTACACATACATCATTCTCAAGATTAAGAGATTAGGAGAAATATATTGTTTTCAGTCTTTAGATTTATGCACCAATCAATTTCTTCCCCTAGCTGAAGGAGTGTAGACATATCCAGAGGCTATTGACATTTTTCAATTTTTTTTGTCAATAATCCCCACTAAGCCRCTCAATATTATTTTGTAAATGTCCATAATATAATTGTAACTACTGGTCGTTTTTTATATATGTAAACCTTTCTGGAAATTGTTAAACATGACGTACTATTTCATTAATAGAYTAATTAAATGTACGGCAGTCACGTTTCATGTCCAGGTTTGGTAATTCAAAGGGTGTATATCACAACATTGATACATGTTTGAAATTCAAACTGCTTTGCAGGACAAGCACTGGTCAAAATGTCTCAATGAATCCCACCCAAAAGGGTAACCATGTTTYAATAACTGTCGAGTGGCACCGGTCACCCTTTATGGCCGCACTTCCCCCATTGGTGTAAGACATTGATAGGTGCATTATTAATAAAATATGCCTTTTGCCCAAGATGAATGTTTAATTTTTTTAATGTCTACCAGTAACAAAAGCCAGATTGGGCAAAAACAATATTGCTATTTTGCAAACATCTGTTCTGAGTTCTTGTTTGCTTATCTCTGATTGGATATCCATTGGTAATGATTACTCTGTCTCATCCCCTCTTAAACTACTTGATTGTGATTGAACAAGATATATATTATAAATAAGCCTGGTAATTATATTATAACAATTGTACATATTTCCTTGCTGTATTGTTAAAAGCATCAATCACAATTTATCAATTTCCCAGGAACACAACCAAAATTTGTAGCATGTGAGTTTTAATCAAATTAGACCTTTGCCTGTAAAGTGTTTTGATAGTGATACATGATAATCAATGTAACTCTAGTGATCTGTCTAATATTAGGAGGGAAGATTTTAAAGGAAAYGGTAGAAAATAAGGCAGAAATGAATTTATTACATATTATAATACAATGAGAAATGTAAATAAAATATATRCTTGAAAGAAAGAAGAGTAGGAATTACAAAGAAAATTAATTAGGAAAGGAAGAAATGGGGATAAAAATAAAATGCAAAGGAGGGAAATTTGTGAGGTTAATAAAGAAAAGTTAAGAAAACATACCTTTGCTCCTTCCTTTGGCTTGTGGTAGATATAAACATGCTTTGTGCTGTCACTAATAACAGCATAACTCATATCAGGTGCACAAGTGGAAAACTTTCTGTCCTCTTTAGATGCCTGGACATAACCTAATGCATCAAATGTAGCAATGTGACTCCAGTATTTGTCAGCCACTTCAGGGTTGGATGCCGGTTGCCAGACCAAGGCATCAACATCATGGCGTAAACAGAAAACTGGTAAACTTCCACCTGCGAGGACAGTATTAAAGACCCACTGGTGACTTGCCAGGCAGACCTGTCAAACAATCAAAGAATATTCATTCAGTTACCATTCAATAGGTCATGAACCTTTCAACCCAGCAAGCATTTCAGAAATCAACCAATCAATCAATAACAATGATAAGACAATATTATAAAATCTTGTTGCGTGTACATAGACTCTAGTTATAAATGTGGGGACTATACTGCACCTAATTATTGCTCAGGTACCAATGGAATAAATAGTGATGGAGCTGATTTAATGTGTACAGGTAGAGAGTTTAGTTGCAAAGTATGTGAAAGTTCTTTTGCCATAGCAGTGAGCATGTGGTCGGTAGTAGGTCTGTAATAAAAACTTTAAAGAGGAGCGTCATTGCATGTGYCGCTTTATGAGACTTGATTATGAAGGCATTTTTAGGTGAGTAAAAGAATCTTGAAATCAAGTAAGAGTCTATGCTGGAATCGGTAGACCATGTAGATCACAAAGGATGGGCTTAATTTGGTTGCTTCTTTTAGCAGACCTGTTATCAGCCTTGCAGTCAAAGATTGCTTTRGTGCAGTCTGAGAGAATGTCCCTAGATACCATAGAAGTGGAGGAGTTTATAATAGCGATATACAGTTGAGTGTCATCAGCATGGAACATAGACCACTTTCATAAGTGCCTACCATCGATTTTACACAATTTATAATATAATTTATGGAAACATTCAATACTGTCATATGGAAGACCTACATGTATTAGAAATAGGTATTCATGGAAAGTTTTAAAGCCATGGACTTACTAACAAAGTTATCGAGGAATGAAAATACAGGGATTTGTATAGAATTCTTTGCTAGTGATTGGGTAGCCTCGTTTTTGTGTTTTCGTACCTCTTCTAACCCTTATAACTTCAAGAGGATTTAATTTTTTTCTGTGAAACTTTCAGAGTTTCTCTTTGACTTTGATATCTACCATTTGAGTGTTTTCATTTGTCAACATTATTAATAGAGCGATAATATGCTAATTAGTGTCAGTCGTGAATACCATCTATAAGTCATAGGATAAATCAACCAACTGTCTCTTCAATTCAACAATATTGACAAAATTCACACACAAGCAAAAATATATTTTTTTGGTCCTCCTTTGTCTCAATTTCTTCAGTGCATCAGYCATTAACCAATATACATGTACGTATCCACCAAACTATCGTAAATCCAGCATCCTTATTGAATATAGCAAAAATAGCTAATGGTGAGAAAAGTGAACTCATTCTTTTTTTTTCAAATTTACCCACCTATAGTTTGGTAGAAACTAAAATAATTAAACCACTTAGTCTTGTGAACTACGAGGTGATATTACAATCAGCAGCTTATCCTGCGAGCTAATTGTTGAATATCTGAAGTTAAAGCTATTAATCACCTTGTGTGTTATGGCTCCAGTATTGGTATCAAGTCTCATTATGTACTCTACATCTTCAGGGAAGTCATCACACTGTTCTAACTGTTGTGGGTTGAATAGCATTCTACCATCTTCACTGATAATTGGCTAAATATAATATTGGATATGAAAGACATTTTAGTTCCATATGTAAACAACAGAGAATTTATGTGAACATTGTGGTACATACAATTGTAAGGCCCATATTTTAAAAGCTACTTTAAATCACCCAGTTCTCTCGTCTGCGAAAAACTGACAAATCAACTAATCCCTTATTTTTTTTACAATGGTTCAAAGTACCATTACTTGCAAATTTATTTGCAAATTATTTGACTGTGTACTTTTCCTGACGAGTATTTTTCCTATTTTTTTTTKACGTCTACTTTTATTTCTACTTAGAACCCTGCTTGTAACCTCAAAGTAGGTATAGTYCTACACCATGTTAAACCTGGGTGAAATTCATTTTCAGTCTCAGCCTCCTGGAGTGAATTTCACACTGTGGGGTTAGGGTTACTGGTGGGTGCTAGGGTTAGGGAATAACAAAGATAATGATTATCTTCCTCACTGGTTTGTCTGAGGTCAGGTGCTCCAGTCTTTCATGAATTTCCTGGACTCTCTGGGCTTCTTCTCCTTGAAGGACATACTTTCCGTTAGTGTTGCCTATAACTACACTGCTCCAGTGATGTTCTGATAACTCTTTTTCAAGTGTTATTTCTAAACTATAGAATAAAAAATAAGTCAGTCACAGCCCTGGTATAGTGACTAATAAAATAATTGTGAGTCAGTTTGCTGATGCGGTTACTGGAATTTGTATGTTAAGCCTAACATTTACAAAATTACTTCATATCTGAGATCAGATGAATGCTTGTGTTGTCAAGGAAATGTGCTTTTAAGAAATAGGTCAGGACACAAAAGAAATTCAATCTAATCTTAATATGAATGTATGAACAAACATACATTATCAGCTATAAATTAGTTAGTTACCAGTTATTTTCTAATGTCCATGCACTTTCTCTTGCTTTGACTTTAGCAAACAATGGTCCCTTGAGTAGGTTTTCACCATTAAACAAACCAACTTCAATCTCATTAGGCTTTATGACACAGACAATATCATCTTTAGTGGTTCCTTCTGTTAAGTCAAACCTGATGGTAACATCATCACCTTCTTGAAACCAAGAGTAGGTGTATTCTAGAGGCTTTTCATMATCTTCATCCTCCACCTCTTTAGCATCAACATTGTTTTGTGAATCAAATGGTTTAGGTTCCAGTCTGTTTTCATCTGAAAGTGATACACCAGTTCTATCATTGTTATCTGGTGTTGAAAAATTTATAGCATACCCATTTCCTATTTATTGGTTGCAGTCATAGATTAACTTAGTTTTCTCTTAATGCTATATGATAAGCACTAAAATAACCCTTGCAATTATCAATATACTGCCATCAACCAAAACCATTGGCATTGCTTTTAAAACTAACTGGAGGCAAGATCAAGTCTCTTCTAGGTTGACTGAATCTTTCACAAAGCAATGTAAACGATAGTCACTGATGGCAAAATTAGTAGTCAAAACTCTATTTTACAATTATATTCCTACCACATCTTGACACTAAAATGTTGCCCACATCTTTACATAAACAGAATATAAAGTGTTGAGCATGCATTTATAGATGCCCATTCACACCTAAGCCAATATCATTTATATGGTATACAGCTATTTAGAAAACACTAAATATAGTGAATTACAAGACCATTGTTAATTGTTGTATCAATTCAATTATACTGTATGCTCTAAAGAGGGATTTCACTGTTTAATATTGATTATCCCAGCTCTATACCTTTGAATGGTATTTTCAGTCTTGCAAGGACTATCACAGTATTCAGTAATTACATTGTGTGTATGTTTCCTTTTTCTATGAAATTACTGTTTATCTTACATGCTCAACCACAGTAATACTGTATCATTCTTATGTGATACCTCTCAAGACGGCACTTTTAAGTGATAAGAGTAATTACTAGGTAGTTGAGCATGTTTACTTACAGTTTATACTGAGAACATCCGTGGTTTCCGAAATAAGCCATCATCTATCTGCTCAGTAAACTACCCTGCTTCTCTGGTGTAAGAGGTGGTYTATTCGTATTTTATGTTTACTGCTTGTACCTACACATGTATGCATACAGGGTATCTAAAGGTCTCTATTATTACTAAAAACCAATAAATATTCTATTTACCTCTGATGAWATAAAAGGATTTCTCACTGGCAACAACAATTGCATTACTTCCCTGTTCTAACGCAGCATAAAGAGGCACACTGTGTCCTTGAGCATACTTTATTGCCTCACAGCTAAAACTTGATGAACCTGAAGTCGTAACTTCAGAGAATGCTCCAAGTGTTAATGTCACGATGTGAGCTTTCTTGGCAGAGGCTTCATTATCTTTCTCAACAATACTCAACAAGAGGCAGTTAATACTCCCTGACTTTTCATCATGAGTAGCATGTGTGATAATGAATGGGATGTCAAACTCATAAAGAAAGGAGACCTTCCACTCAGAGCAACTTCCTGTTGCTCTTCCCCTCGMGTGGACTATATACAATTTGCCAAGTCCATCACCAATACAAACAAAATCCTTGGAAGGAAAGAATATGGAGGCAGTGAGCTCTTCCTTTAAGCCTTCAGATAATGGGATTTTGAATACACTCTCAATGGTATCAACAGATGCATCCTGGGTTGAAACAAAGCAATAGAAGTATTACCTATTGTTCTAGGTTATTTAATCCTGTACATGATTTAGGCTATATGGAGCCCAAAGGAAACTRTAAAGAACATATTTACGCTTAATACTTTAAAAAACAGCCAGTGCATCCAAGATGATTTTTGAACACCACAGAAACTAATAAAAACTTGCGCTCAGCTTCAACAACTGATAAAAAAGTCTCTGAACATTGTGTTTGGAATGCATACCTTCACCGTAACCTGTTGGACTTCATTATTTTCGTCTACAAAGTAAACTCTTTCACATGTTGTTTGCCATCGATCAAGCAYGAGGTGGTTGACACTTCCAATTGCACGAATATATTGTAATGAAAATAAATCGTCTCTTGGATTGCAAACTTTTACATTTGATACAAGACTAGCAGTATGAACGGTAAGTTGATCTGGAGGTAGTTTATAACCCTCGAAATTAGGGTTTATAAGGGTCTGATCAGGTATCAACGATTCAGTTGCCATTTTGAAAAGTTTCCACGACACAGGAATCCCCTAGAAACCTGGAGTAAAAGATCCGATCTGCACTCGAAGTTTGCATTTTTTTTAAGTAAGTAATTTATCATACTTGGCATTTTTGTATGTAAAATATTCTTTCATTGGCACATAATTCGTTCAAGATTAATTTTATTAATATATTTAATTTATCTATTTTTTCTTATTGTTTTACGTGTACTATACAAGAATGCCGAATATGCTAAAGATTTATTTTTGACTTCTTGATAAAAAGTTGCTATTTCGCAAATCATTGTTTACATTGACTTAAAGAAATTGAGTCGTCTCTAGCTTGAAAAAACAAATTTATAACGTTTCAGTCGACTGCGATCTTATTTCAGTGCAGCTGCATTAAGCAATGCACACTTTGCATTTTGCCCATTTTGCCACTGCACTGAAGAAGATCGCAGTTCGAAACGTTTGCATTAAATTGTTTTTTTGTGTTTTTTTTTCAAGCAAGAGACGACTCAATTTCTTTATCATGGAACATCCTAGCAGCAACTTTAAAATATTGTTTACATTTGTTTACTTTGAACTTGAAATTTCTAGGCTGCCTCGACTTGGTGTTGAAACTGTTTATTTCAAAATTTCTGACATTGCTATGACAACTGCTGACGAAACAATGGTGGCGCGTACGGTATAAAACGCAAGTCAACGCCAAWCGCTTCACGATCAAACAGTCAGGTAGAAAGGTGGGAAACTAGGTTTATTTCAGTACTAAAGATCCTTCAAAATGCGTGAAATTGTACATTTGCAAGCTGGACAGTGCGGAAATCAAATTGGTGCAAAGGTATTTTGACTTTAAGGTCATTTTTATCAAATAATCAGGTGCTGAAGAGAATATTTTTGTTTCAGTTTTGGGAGGTGATCTCGGACGAGCATGGCATCGACCCTACTGGCACTTACCACGGCGATTCAGACCTACAACTTGAACGAATTAACGTGTATTATAATGAAGCTACTGGTAAATATCTTATCATTATTTATAGGGAGTATTCTTTGCACGTTTGATGGAAATTCATGATGGATTTGTTTTTTTTTACGGTTATATTTGATTGCATTTTAGGCGGGAAATACGTCCCTCGTGCTGTTTTAGTAGACTTAGAGCCAGGAACTATGGATTCTGTTCGTTCTGGTCCTTTCGGACAAATTTTCCGTCCCGACAACTTTGTATTCGGTAAGTTGATTGATTGATCCCAATCTTTTATATATTTTGTTTGAAAATTGATCGCAATAGTCTTCAGTTTTGAAGCACTCGCGCAAAAAACCGTTTGGATTTTCAGTCTTCAAATAAATAGATGCTCACAGAGCATTTACTCGGGCTGCTCCATAAAGGATTCTGAGTGATTGAAATTTATTATCTGTGTGCATAGGCCTAAATTTTCAAGACACTGAAGATAGATTATGTAGTGCAGTCCATTGGAGATTAAATCCTATCCTAAAATTTCACTATTAAGGCTGTGTCACACTGGCGTTTTTTTTCATGCAACTTGTGTCGCGCAAAAAAAATGTTGTAAGTTGAACGAGCGTTTTTTTATGTGTGACACCCCCTCGTGCAACTTGAACATTTCATTTTTTTGTTGAGAGAAAAGTAGAACTGGCTTCTACTTTTTTCAACATTTTTCGGAAAAACGTGTGTGTGACATGGTCTCTTGCAACTTCCAAAATTTTCAATTAGGCGCACAAACCCATAACAAAGCGAGAATCTGTCCTGTTGTCACTTGTTGTAATAATCAACAAAGATGCCCGACGCCATCTTTGGCGAAAGGGATAATTTTGAAGAGGAAAACGAGACAGAATGTGAGGTGATCGTACATTTTCAATTTACGCGTGCACCTTGAACATTTTCTTGCACGAGCTAAGTTGCAACAAAATTTTGTAGTGTGACATGGCATCGTGCAACTTACAACATTTTTTTGCGCRACAAGTTGCACCAAAAAAACGCTAGTGTGACATGGCCTTTAGGGTGTGACAGTCAGACACAAAAGAAACTAATGAAATAAAAGGTACTAAGATTGGTGAAGTACCTATTTTACGGGTTTTATGACTACACTCCACTATTTTCCCCTATCTGGCTCCTTGCAAGAAGTGAGGAATGTTGTGATCTGTAATACTTCTGCTCATATTTAGAGAAAAAAATGATCGTGATCATTTTTGAGCATAAAAATGTTTGGTGTATTTAAAGTTCATTTCCAAATGTGTCATATCTTCACATGTCTGCCATCTTGATTTCTATGTTTGAAGCATGTGATAACTTTTCCACTTCTGGTGACATCACTGATGGTGTAGAAAATGTCCACATCTCTGCATGAAATGTTGTCATGCAAGCAAAACCTACTATTGTCTTCAAGCAATTTATTTTGCATGAGATTTTTTTTTCTAAATGCAAAATGTTTTATTATATTAGGTCAAAGTGGCGCTGGTAATAATTGGGCAAAGGGACATTACACTGAGGGTGCTGAATTAGTTGACTCCGTACTTGATGTGGTTAGAAAAGAAGCTGAGAGCTGTGACTGCTTACAAGGATTCCAGCTTACACACTCACTAGGTGGTGGAACAGGCTCTGGTATGGGAACTCTTCTCATTTCCAAGATCCGTGAAGAATATCCGGATAGGATCATGAACACCTTTAGTGTGGTTCCCTCACCAAAGGTGTCAGACACTGTTGTAGAACCATACAATGCTACCCTATCAGTCCATCAGCTGGTTGAGAACACAGATGAGACCTACTGCATTGATAATGAGGCCTTGTACGATATTTGCTTTAGAACCCTTAAGCTCACTACTCCCACTTATGGAGATTTGAATCATTTAGTTTCTGCTACCATGAGTGGTGTTACAACATGCCTCCGATTTCCTGGTCAGGTATGTCTAACGTATAAMCTTTGAAATACTTGTARCGTTAGGCAAGAWMAAAGATTATTAACAAAGCTAATTTTAAACCTCTTGTTCCYTTTCAGCTCAATGCTGATTTAAGGAAACTGGCTGTAAACATGGTACCATTCCCACGTCTTCATTTCTTTATGCCTGGCTTTGCTCCACTGACCAGCAGAGGGTCTCAACAATACCGTGCCCTGACTGTCCCTGAACTTACACARCAGATGTTYGATGCCAAGAACATGATGGCTGCTTGTGACCCAAGACATGGYCGCTATCTCACYGYTGCTGCAATRTTCCGYGGACGCATGTCCATGAAAGAGGTTGATGAGCAGATGYTGAATGTGCAGAACAAGAACAGYTCATACTTTGTTGAATGGATTCCCAACAATGTGAAGACAGCTGTCTGTGACATCCCACCAAGAGGCCTGAARATGKCTGCWACYTTCATTGGTAACAGCACAGCAATCCAGGAGCTGTTCAAGCGTATCAGCGAGCAGTTCACAGCTATGTTCAGGAGAAAGGCTTTCCTTCATTGGTATACAGGAGAGGGTATGGACGAGATGGAATTCACTGAGGTGAGAATGAAATGGAGCTTTGTGTGATGAAATGTGATGAGCCATTATTTCAATGAATAGTTATTACTAAACTAAAGATGGACATGTCACATATACCTGTATTGTGAAAGATTCACAAAATATTTGTATATAGAGTAGTCTATTTTAATGAGAAGGCAAAGTTTACAATTGTTATGTACATTTTAGCTGACTGGTATACAATTTTATAAAGGCAAAAATATGTGATTATTTTAGGCTGAGTCCAACATGAACGACTTGGTGTCTGAATACCAACAATACCAAGATGCAACTGCTGAAGAGGAAGGAGAATTTGATGAAGAGGAGGAAGAGGGTGAAGCTGCTTAAATAATTCAGTACTACTCTAACAAAAAAAAAACACTTATTTGTCTGTAATCTTTAAACTATAAAAAACTACCTTACAGTTAACTTTGTGTTTTTATCTGGAATTTAAAACTATATGCTGATTTTATGGAAAAGGTTTTATTTTTGTGTGAGAGAGTTATAGAATATTTATATTTATAGTGTATATTACTTGAGTTTATTGATGGTATAACCATTTGCTCTGGAACTTATTAGCAGTTTGCATCAATAAAATGGAGTGACCTAACAATGTGTGGATTTTTAGGTCCGTTCAGATGGACAATGCTTCTCTTTCAGTCAACAGATGACTATCCAATATATGAGGAAGTGAAAGAAAGTGTATTTTGTATTTTTGACATTCGTACTTTTCGAGAAATGAGGTTGTGGAGGTCAATGATACACTAGTCCAGAACTTTACCCTCTTTTCCCCGCAGTTCGGGTTCAGTTCTGGACTAATGATACACAACTGCGTACCTTCAGCTATGTAATAACATGGTTGTCATTTGTGTGTATGCTCTAAAGGCTGATTTACACAGTACGATTTGTCCCGCGCGACTTGTAGTATACGATTTTCCTACTACAAGTCGTAGGGGCATTTACACTGCGCGATTCAAGTCGTATACTACAAATCGCACGAGACAATTGTACCGTGTAAATCAGCCTTAACAATCAGCTGCATATGATGCATAAAAAATTGTCAACAATAGAGAAGTCTTGAAAAGTCCTTGATTTTTGAGCTAGGTCCTTGAAAAGTCCTTGARTACAAATTTTCCTTGAAAAGTCCTTGAATTTGGAGGAAAGGTCCTTGAAAATGATAATTTAGTCCTTAATGAATCTAAAATAATGTTTTGGGTATCAATTTAGCCAAGCTTTAATGACAAGTATTCAATCCTTTTTGCGATACTTGCTGTACTATTGTACAATGGGCATATACGCTTGTTTTTGTTTTTTGTTGTGTCTTTTTTCTTTTCTTCCTTTACCATAATGTAATGTAATATTATTGTAAATAAGCTAATTTAATAGCCTCCGTAGCAGACGTTCCAAGGTTCTTGGAACGTCTGCTACGGAGGCTACTAATTTAAGGATAATGTACCTATTAAAAAAAAATATGGCGGCCAAGAAATTACTTGAGAATGAGGGAAATCTTCAAAAGAAAAAGTTCTTAAAACACTTGACTGCAGTGTTAGTAAGTTTTCTAACTGTACTTTTTTCTCTTTGTAATTGGAGTCCTTGAATATTGAAAATTAATCCTTAAAAAGTCCTTGAATTTTGTATGAACAAATCTGTACGAACCCTGATATATGGTTGTGCATGTCTCGTGTGAASAAGAACTTTGACAAAGGCTTAAACTGAAAAGAKATTTTTGAAGGACGCAGATTAACGTTCGAACCAGCGCTATGCARTGCCTAACATAAGATGGTCATAAGTCAAAGAAAATGATCTTTTCATTCACCCGCCTRTTTTAACTAATGACAGTGTTTTGCTCGAAAAAGGCAGATGTTATAAAAAGCTCGAMAAATTTTTTTTGTGGGTATGTCCTTTTAGTTCACTTGCTGAAAAACTTTTTCTCGACAGAACTCTATACCCAATTTCATTTTCTTTTTATCGCATGATGTAATATATAGAGCATCCTCGTAAATCATTGCCATCACCAGGATAAGGATTATATTTAGATGCACCAAAATAATCCTGGATGACTACGAGGGACTCAGCTTCAAAAAGAATCTAAAGTACCGGAAGTGCACGCATCATGGAAGTGAGGCAACCGCAAAAAAACAAAAAACCACCATTAGTTTCTGGTTCCTGTTTAGTGAACATCTCAATAATTCATGCCATAGAGTAGAGTGTGTTATAAATGGCTTCTCCGYGTGCTAGTTGCGGCCAAACAAAGCAGAAATGACGACCACATTCTCGAATATTTCTCAAATCCAAACGATTCCGAAATGCGAGAGATATTAAATGTGCAAGTTGGTCAGTGCGGGAATCAAGTTGGCTACAAGGTAAGACTAAAGTCAAACAATTATCGCTTCGAACGACTAACGTATTGGGATCCTGACCACTTCTGTAATAGTATTGAACTGCGCTTGATAATAACTTTGGTTATAGTTCTGGGAACTAGTTTGCGAGGAACATGGGATTGATGAGCAGGGAAAATACAAAGGAAACTATAACAAACAGCTTGAGAAAATTGACGTCTATTTCTCACAAGGATCAGGTTCGTATCTCAAATACATATTATACTACATGATATTACGGTCGTTATATTGGCCATTAAATGTAGCTTTCCGTGATATTTTAACGGCATGCGTTTATTTTACAAAACACCTGGGTTTTACATAAACGTTTTGTCATCATCTTAGAACATCGTTATGTTCCCCGTTCGGTGCTGGTGGATCTCGAGTCTGGAACGATGGACTCGATGAGGTCGTCACCCTTAGGACAGTTATTTAGACCTGATAACTACATCTATGGTAAGTACTGACACAGGGATTCACAGCCTAATTATATATTTTCTAACGCATGCAATCTTGCTCTTTTCTCATTTCGATTCTTCGCACACCTGTTAATTAGCCTTTGTGAGAAGTAACAGAAGTATTATCTATGAGTTACAAGAGAATGCTGCCAACAGGTTTTATTATTATTGAAATTCTAATTTCTAAAAAAAATAATTCTTATACAACTAAATCTGCTAAAGGATTTTATTCAAAATATATTTGAATCTTCTCGAAAGTTCTGTTTTACTAATAGTCATMAACTATATTTCTAATGTTTTGAAAGTCTTTCCAATCAGTTGAGCCAAGCTACCATGAATGTAATTACATTCAGTTATGTTAGAAACCKTGTTAAAGGTTTCTTTATGTTGCGCTATAATTCTATATTCATAAGTCTCAGGAGGATATAGTTGGAGTAACTTTAGTGGGCTTTTTATTCGTTTCTGTGTCTACTATTTTCTAAAGAGTGTCTGTGAGCTGTCAATAGGAGGTTCACTGAAAAAATAATATKTTTTATTTATAAAAAACATGCGTGACAGTCCTCCACAATATCTAGACATTAAAGTTTGCTTTTGTGCTTAAATAACTCCTTTGAGCTACAAAAGCCATTCGCTTCATCAATCTTAACTCATATGCTATCTACAGTATAGATTGCGGAGTCCTAAGCGAAATTCACTTAACGTTTCCCATCCATATCGTTATTAATTAGCATAACACTGCACGCCACAAAAATGTCTTACAGAGAATAACTATTCTCGTCTTGTTCGCTTGAATCTTTAATCGACCGAAGTAGTTGACAGACAAGTTAAGTAGATACCTCAAGTTCTAAACAAATAGAAACCGCTAAGTGGGCCTGCTGTCTTAAGAAAACACTCAGAGTTGCAAGAATTATTACTTCTATAAGTATGAAAAACAAAAGTAGTCGCAAATTATCATGGGTTATTATTTCTGCGATGTCATTTTGACCACTAAGAAAGCGTCAAACATCGATGTATTATTTTTGTTGATGAACGTGCAGTGAGTTTCTCAAGCTTTAAAAGTATACATTGAGCGTTTGAAAACAACAATTTTGTTTGTGCAAATCGCATTGATAGCTTTTCTTTATTTTTACACACCAATGGCCAATAACAATGAAGCGATTAGCATTTCTCTACAGATTGCTCTTAGAAAAACAATGGGAAAAAGTGATGAAATCGAACAAAATACCGATGGAGACGACGGCAAAACATGATTTGAGCGGATCTAGCATCTAGCATTTTAAAAACACTATGTGCATCATGTATTACCCTCTGCTAATCGATCCCATTACGTTTAGTAGATATAATCAACAAAACTATAGAGCTATCTCTTTCGCATARATATGTTGATTGCACGCCCTGTTGATTCTATTGGATCCAGCTCTTAAACTACCAATTGGCCAACATTAATGCGGTATTTTTCCCACGGGTGGACATGACTCAATTCCGAAAGTTGTATACGAAAAAAGTATCTCGTAAATTACAATAAAGTAGACTAAGATAATAAAACTGAAATTTTCCACTATCTGTCCTATCACACCTCGTTTCCACCTGCATTCAATCAATGTTAAATGCAAAAACGATTTTCATCAGTAGCTGTCTCTACGTCACTGCAGGAGCATGCATTGGGATGAGACCTGAAGTGATCTAAAGGACCGTTTACACTTGCGATTTTTGCCTGAGTTTCGAACATGTTTGAAAATTGGCTGCAATTTCGCGGCGATTTTCTATTGCCGCAACAATCGCAGGACTGTTTACACGTACAATTTAGTTGCACGATAGCAAAGTGGCGATTATCATTCAACTGTATAAACGTAATAATTTGTGCATGGTTATATAAATAAGAAAATCACTTTCAGGATGCGCATAATATGAAGAAATCATAGGAAAATGATTCAATGAAGCTAGTCACGTAATTCGAAAATTTCACTCCTATTAACTCTCAATTTTGTCTTGCTTTTACTTATATATTATTGTCCTTTACGCACTAAATCGAGAAAATTTCAGCTTCAATACAACGGTTTAGTTTGCCTGAAAACGCGAGCTTTCAAGTCCGCGTCCAAAGTGTTTTGCGTGAAGTCAAATGCTAGTACTGTACGAGAGCCTGATACTCAGGTTATACTGTTTCTRACTAAAATGAGGTGCACCCCGCCTGCATATTTTTATATGGCATAACGCCACCTGTATTTCCATATTATGGCATATGTGCTTTTCTCTAGTTTCCTGCCCAAAAACGAAACGAAACAAAACAGAAAGCAAAGACAAAACAAAAGCAAAGACAAAAGATCCCTTTTTTGGTAAAAGCAGATTTTTCTGATTGATTTTCAGGTAAATGTGGAGCAGGCAATAACTGGGCTAAAGGTTTTTACTCCAACGGCTGCAACCTCATTGAAGAAGTTCTAGACTGCATACGAAAAGAGGCTGAAAACTGTGATTCAATACAAGGATTTATGTTAACTCACTCCCTTGGGGGAGGTACTGGGTCAGGTTTAGGCACTCTAATACTTTATCACTTACAAGAGGAATACCCTGACCGCATTCTCAGTGCAGCTAGTATATTTCCGTCGCCAAAAGTTTCAGAAATTGTGGTGGAGCCCTATAATGCAACACTGGCTTTGCAGCAACTGATTGAGACTACAGATGAAGTCTTTTGTATTGATAATGAAGCATTATACGATATTTGCTTCAGAACGTTAAAAATTGATACTACAACATATACGGACTTAAACCATTTAATTGCTAATACCATGAGTGGTCTGACGACGTGTCTGCGATTTCCAGGACAGGTAGGTTATCCGAACAGGTAAACGTTTCCTACTATCTCTGCTGAAACAATATCGCATTAGTTGTCGCATGAGGCAAAATCAAGAAAGGACCTGTGCGGTTGACATTATTAATTTGTCTTACATAACAAGTACATAGAATGAAATATTGAACTTTATCAATTCTTTTCCGCATATACACTAGCAAGATGTCTCGCCCAACCTCCCCTCTTTACCCCCATATTACACCGGACTGTTTGATGAACAGTCAAGCGTAGCTGATGACTTCACTGAATTTTAAGTCAAAGCAAAATATTTGAGTCCGTGTACCTAGATACTTTAAACATCACACAACAACAATGAAAAATAACATTGGCAATCCGAGTCATTGTCTACGAATTCACAGAACGAATCTTTATAAGTTAGCAATTGCTTTTCAATTCTATTCAACGGTAAAGTTAACGAACCTTAACTACAACCGAGAAAAGTAGTTTTTGTTGCTCAGCTCCTATGGCTTAGCAAAGTAGAATAGTGGTTAAAAACGGGTTATTGTGTTTAGAAGGTCAAGGGTTCGAGTCCAGCAGGACTTTTTTTCTCGGCACCAATTTGTTACTCAGTACGTACTTGATTTCCGTTCGCTCAGAAAAACATTCTATGTATTATTTCCCTAAGTATTACCGAGGGCTATATCTCTATATACCTGGGGTTTATCTAGATAAAGCCCTTGAATGTGTAATACCAAGGAAGTATGAGTACAGACCCACGAATAACAATGAAAACCGATTCAATAATAGTGTGCAGGGCTGGATCACGATATCATCTAAGACGCAAGAGTGGGAATTGGGGAGATTGTGGGAAGCGGAAGTAAGAAAGTAAAGAGAAATATTTTTCATTTTTACCAAAATCTCAAGGCACCATGCATTCCACAGTCGTCACACGTGGGACGGGATAAAAAACATGCTACGCACTTGGAAGTAAATGATATTACGAAACCCTGAGAATAAATAGGAAAACCCGAATAAGCTAGAGTSGRTTTCATAAACCCGTGAAACAAAGTGTAATAATTAGAGTGTAATAGATCGTAATAATCMCGTAGAGACAATAAAAAACAAAAGAGCCAAAGTYTAATAGCGATAAATACGCTAAAGTGTGTTTCACGGGTTAATGAAAACCACTCTAGTCGTAAATCCTGATATGTAGTTTATTTTTATTTCAGTTGAACGCCGATCTAAGGAAATTAGCCGTAAATATGATACCATATCCTCGCCTTCATTTCTTCTTACCGGGATTCGCGCCATTGACAAGTCGTGASTCTGCTTCGTATAGTACTATAACAGTGAGTGAGCTCACTCGACAGATGTTTGACTCAAAAAACACAATGATAGCTTGCAACCCCAAAAATGGGAAATATCTGACATTTGCTGCAATGTTCAGAGGAATGGTTTCTATGGAGGAAGTAGAAAAACAAATGCTTGATCATCAAAATAAAAACAGTTCTTTATTTGTGGAATGGATTCCAAATAATGCTAAAGTTGGAGTGTGTGATGTTCCACCTACGAACATGAAAATGTCTGCAACGTGCATTGCTAGTAATACGGCAATACAAGAACTCTTTAAGAGATTGTTGGAACAGTTTAGTCTAATGTATAAGAGGAGAGCATTTGTTCATTGGTTTACTGAGGAGGGAATGGACGAAAAGCAATTTTCTGAGGTAAGTCAATTACAAAACACTTATATAACAATATTCATAAAATACCTAATGACATGCAGAGGTACATTGAAAGGCTTCAACTATCTAAATTTATGACCAAGTACTACCAAGACAGTAGGAACAGCACACAACCGATGAGATCCCATGTGAAACGTTTCAAATCTCGAGATGATAGCGAACAGAAACAAAATATTGTGGTGATTTGCATTGAATTGGGTACATGTGATATTCTAAGATTGAGCCAAGCTTAACGTACAGCTCTAAAGTTTTTACTCGAGTTCAGACGACATGATGAAAAGCGCTTTTTATTTTTTCCGTTGGTCTATACATTGCCTCTGCGTTTGTGTTTCYCTTCGCTACTTAACTGTAAAGAATTTCAGAAACAAGCAGACTCAAACTCTAGAGAGAAAAGTACGTCGTACTGAAAACCAGAGTGTAGAATTCAAACTTAAAAGTAATTATCACGTGACGTTTTCACGCACTCATAGATGGATGTAAATCAAGACAGAGTGCCTTGATGAATGAAGTAAAGTATGCGTTTGGGTAGTTGGATAAATTCCAATTCATAAGCAAGAGGGAAGAAATAAAGTGGAGGAATGGAAAGGCAGCTGCGGATTGGTTGTATTAACCGAAACAATGATTTTTCCGTTTAAATGTAAATTTCCCTTTTTYATAGGCGGAGAACGAAGCTAAGGATCTTATCGCGACGTACCAACAGTGCCAAGATCTTAAAATAGATACAGACTTGGACGATCTTGACATAACAGACCTCGAGATCTACGACGATTCATTGGAGACTTGGGATAGTCTAGATGTAACGAGCGACTCATTAATGAGTGGTTCTATTAACGAATAACGGAGAGTGGCCCCT